CCTCTCCTCTCCTGTTTCTATTCTCTCTCTCTCTCTCTCTCTCTCTCAGTCCCTCTCTTTTCCTTTCCTCCTCTTCCTATTCTCTTTCTGCTTCTCCTTCTCCTTCTTCTTCCTCTTCTCCCCACCTGCCCCCATTCATTTGGCAACCTTCCTGAGTCCCTAAATCAAAAGGAGGTTGCTACTGATATCTTCTGGGATGTTAATTGCAAGAACAGCTTTATCTCCTAGGCAGACAGACACTACACAAATGTTTGGTTTGCTGCATATCACACTGTTAACAAGGTTCTTATAGGTTCAAGGAAAATAGATTGTAAGACATTACCAGGGGGACTTAACATTCTGAGGAAAAAAAAAAAAAAGACAACTAAGAGATAATTCTGAAGAGTCTGAAATTTTAAAAGTACCCACCACATAGACATAATCCTACAGGAAAAACTGGAGGGGAGACTTTAGAAAAGTTGAAAATAAGTGTAAAAGGCAAAAAAAGAAGTTTTGTTTCTTTAAAAAAAAATTCCTATCCTATAAGCATTACCACTCTTAAAAGATGGTGTATGCCATTGACAGTCCTCATTTTGGACCTAACAATCCAGTCTTATCATCCCAAAGTGTTCAAACTACAGGGAAACTGAGCTTTCACTTGATTTGCTTGTTTCAGTTAAATACTCCGTCTGTCTTTCAACTGTGAAAACACAGCTCATCTGTCCGCTGTGCAGGCACCTCCTTGAACTGCCACCCAGAAAGGAAGGTAATGAAGGTAACACGCTCATCGTGAGCAGCCATCCACTCTGCTTCGACTGATTCACCTGGGGCTTTGTTTGTGAAGAAGTTAAAAGGCTGACTTTTACAGCTCTCCTGGCAAATGAGAGGAAAAAAGAAGAGATGTTTGAATCTGAAAGCTTTTTACCAGCTGTGGGGAAAGGTTGCTCTGGGCACTAATGGTCTGCATGTACCCAAGAGCAGTAGAGCTGTGCCTTCTCCTTGTGTCATGTCAAAGTGTAGTACACCAAAGCCACACGATGGCTACCGTGTATTGCCAAACCGAATGAAGGCATGAGGAAGAGATTATACATCCTTTTGTGAGAAACTGAGTCTTGAAAGGCCCGTGCTTTGCTCAGATCCCATGAGTTGAATTACTTGAAAACAGACATTGCAGTTACAGTCTCTGCCATGTGGTGTTCTCACTGGGTATCTTAAAACACTTAAGCCTAAAGGGTTTAGAATGTCTACAGAGGCCGTAATTTGGAGAGAACAACTTTATATTTGTGGGAGAGACAGCACACCATATATATCCTTGTTGGATACTTTCTCTCTTCCCTGAAAAGGAGTTTAACAAGAAGTTCTTGAGCAAATTGGATGGGAAAGTAAGTGATTTCATGGAGAAGAATTACTGTGAATTATTACTCCAAGGCTAACAGCTTCTTCAGTCAGGTGACACTCCAGGTTCACAGGGAACGGAGTGCAAGCGGGAACAGAATTAATCAAGTGCCGGTAATGTGCAAGGCTATGCCTGGATACAGGACCTGAAAGGAGAGGCCCCGAAGTTCAGATGTGGGCACCTGTCGCCGAGGAGAGAGGCAAATGTTCCAGGAGAATGGTGGAGATGGGAGAAGAGGTCAGAGGATCTCAGGAAGGGATTTCTCTGAGAATCCAAGGACTACTTTAGAGGTTGGAGGAAGTCCTCTTATAGTAAAAGGACTACTTGGCCCTAAGTACTTGGAAGATTGTCAAAACAGTAGAATTTTCAAAGCGACAACAACTTGGAGATTTTTATAAATCATGCATGCATCATCTCACCTCCACTTAGATTCCTGCAGAGGTCTCCCAGACTCTTCAAATGGCCCATGAACTGGCCTTCCCATGCATAAGGGTCCAGGGCGGGGCTCCGCTGGGTTCCTCCCCAGGGTCCCTTCTCACCGGCGCCCCCTGTTCTGTACAGTCACTCCGCATGCCCACCTAGAAAGGCCTCTGTCCATCATGCTGCCTCCGCCCCAGGGCTTTCCGCACCACTCATTGAACTCACTACCCTTTGTAATTATTTAGCTTAGTTGTTTGCTCTTGCTGTGTGAGAGTCATGCTTCCACTACATAATGAGAGGATGGAAGTCAAAGACCACATCTCTCTTGATCTCCATTTTACCATCAAGATTTATCACAGTACTCAGCTTCTGATAAGAGCTACACAAATATGTGTTTAACAAAATAATACAAATGAAGATTCAGAGAGCAAAACAGATAAAATAATTTCTACAGATTCTTTCAAATCACTAGCAGCAGAACTGGCAGAGTATTAAGGGTCCCGAGAAAGCCTGACCATAAATGTAATTACAATATTCTCAGGTCAGAGTTACCAACCTTAGTGCATGGCTTCTCATATGAGAAACAGAAAATGCTATTATACACAATAAAGAGCAAAATAGAAGACAGATAAATAGGAGGTATGGAGAAGTTCAGATACTTCCCCAAATTATCTATTCTGCTGTTTCAAAAATATTTTAATATATATGCTAATTTGTTTCATTTATACTACTAGTTTATCTTAATTTGTTGAAAAGAAATTTTTCTGTTATTATGTTTGTTTATTTTTGTATAAATCTTCTTGGTCTATGTCTTGTATTTTATTTTCAAGGTAGTGATACATAGTGTATTAATCGTTGTTATTCTCTTATTATTTTGTTATGAAATTTTGTTTTATTTTTTCATAAAATTAAAAAAAGAACATCTGTGCTGCAGTTGGGCCTTCGGTAGGTACTCAGGTTTTTGGAGAAATTATTCAAGAGAAGGTTTGTGGGTTACACTGCTGGAACCAACTTTCCTGTAGGTATTAGGAGAAGCTGGGGCACACACTCAGCTTCCCCTTTTCCTTGCCCACGTCTGCCACCTCCCCCTACCTCAAGCTTGGCCCTTGTCTCCCTTTATCTAGAGCCCTCCCCAAATCTTACGGAGGATACGGTCCTCACTCTGACTTTTCTTCTTTGCTTACTGCTAGCTCCTGTTCATCCCTGCCCACTGCCAGGTCCCCCTCTGCACCAAGACAGCTGCTTACAGTCGAACTGCAGCTTTTAATCTCCGCTGCTGGTTGAGCAGAGGCAGGGATGGAGAACCAAAATGGAGGGAAGAAGTGAGGTGGTTAAATAGCATTCTCACTGTGGGCCTAGATTTGCAGCCAGTCACTTATTGGATGTTAGTGTGACTCTGCCTGTGTAAGAGAGAGATACCTTATTTATTTACTTTTTGTTACTATTTTAAAGGAAATCTTAATCCTGGCTTTGTAACTCCCTAGAGAATCTTTAATAGCACATTAGAGTGTTACAAAATTCTGAAGTACCAAGAAACGAAATCACTCAAACTAATAAACATGTCACTCAATACTCTGTGGGGCCTGGGGAATGGTAATATCATGAAATAAAGCAATGACCACCTTTTAAAACTCCCAAAAGGACAGTCATCACAGGCTAAGTGATCTGCTGGTGGTGTTTAGTTTAATTTTGTTTTGTTTTTGTAATCTCACCTCTCCTCTATAATCACCCTGTTCATGTTCCTAAGTGCTTTTGGAGGGAATATTAACATGAGTAGCAGCCTTTGACTGAATACCTACTATGTGCTAGGCACTTTACATTGTCTCTAATCCTCTAGGTAAATATGGTTATTGGTATTTAAAATGAGAAAATTAGCATTTAGAAAAATTAAGTAAATTGCTCACAACTCACATAGGGAGTTATGGTTTGTATTTAGATGTCCCCAAAGTCTCGTGTACTCATATGTGGGGCTTTGGGGAGGGGATTGGATCATGGGGGTGTGATACTCATCAATGGGTTGGTCTCCTGAAGAGTTTACGGCTAATGTGATGGTGGGAGGTAAAGCCTAGTTAGGGGAGGTAGGTCACCGTGTGGCCTAGAAGGCTGTATCTCCCTCCCTCCTACTGACCTCCCTTTGCTTCCTGACTACCACGCCATGAGCTCTTTCTCCCCTGCCATGCCAATTCTGCCATGCCACTGTGCCTTAGAGCCAGCTGACTAGGGAGTGAAACTTCTGCAAACTGAGAGCTAAAATAAACCCTTCCTCCTCAGAGTTATGGGTGTCAGGTATTGTGTCCCAGAGATGAGACAGTACCTAAACAGGAATAAAGACTGCTAGACACTCCACATCTGTGCCCGACATCAATGCGCTGCCCTGCGGTAGCTGAGAGTGGATTATTAATCTTTCTCCAAGTGCTCATCCACTGGCCCAAATATAAAATCTAAGGAGAGAGCTTGTGTTTGCTATGTAGAGCCTGCTTCAAAATAATTGACTTGATCCCCTCACTTCTCTTCCAAGTTTGCCACTTCTAAGTTTACTTTATATAGAACGTCCTGAAATGACAGTGTTTTGCATTATATCATGTTACTTACAAACAAAATAAAGTGTCATGAAAGTTTGAACTTGAGCCATTGGACTCAGAGTGTGCGGCCTAGATATTACATCAGGACCAGCAAACTAATGTTCTTAAAGAGCACATCGCATCTTCTTATCTTGTGTTCCCCCAGATCTCTGCATGTCTACGGTTCTCTCTTTTGATGTTTTCTACCCATAAACTGAACGAAAATGTAGGGTAAATGTTTGCTCGGAAAGCATTAGGGAGCATGTGACTATGGAATGTCCTTGCTCAATATAAACAGGGACAGAAACTCACTAAATATGTCTAATATATGTTCATGTTTCTAAGCTTTACTGTTAGCAACAATAAAAAGAAGCTGCTAGGGATCTGAAAGCCACCTTTCACACAGAGCTCGTTTCCCAATGCTCTGCGAAGGGGCCAGCCCCGTCACGGGTGGCTGTGGCAGTTCCTCACACTCAAAGAACACAACAAACCCCACGCCCTGGCAGAACTTAGGAAATATACTATCAGATAAGCTTTAAGAATTATAATTTTAAAGACTAAGTAGTAAAGCAGAAATTAAAATGGTATCTATGCTATGTGTCAGAAGAATATTTTTTACAATATGAATAACTTCCCCGGTGTTTCCCTCCCTGCCTTGATCCTTCCCTCCACTCAGACACCGGATTAGATTTTCTTCATCTCAGGAGGAAGCGAGGAAACAAGAAGAAGAGAAAAGAGATCTTCTCATATTTCATAGGGCTTGTTGTTGCTGTTGTTGCTGTTAACAGAACCAAAAGGACCCAGACTAGAACAAGATCAGAGCTAGAGAGTTAGGAAGCAAGAAGGGCGATGGACGGCAGGTGCCAAAGCGAGGGCTCTGGGCTTTACTCCACAGCCAAGCTCTGGGGAAAGGCAACACCTCTGAGAAGAACGGGGAGCCTCGGTTGGGTTCCTCAGCCCTGAACACTACTCCACACCACCATCACCATCTCTGCCCCCAAAAGTGGCCCAGTGGAACCCCAAAACCAGGTAGATTCACATTAGTCGACGTCAGAGGTGGCTGTTCAGTGGCTGGGCCAGAATACTGCTCTAGGAACAAGCAGGATGAACATCTTGGCCGATGCCTGTGTGACTAGATGACTTTGAAGATTCGGTGCAGCCAAGGAAAAGGGAGAGGCATATTGCACCATGCTTGAACCAGGCCCAGAAGGCAGGGTTTGAAAGAAAAATCAGTATACTGAGTCAGGAAAAAGTCAAGAAAGGTAGGCGGCTTGCTCTTCGGCAAGTAAGAACTAAATTTCACATCTTCTCACCTGTGGTTAACAGAATAGGTGACATCTGCGAGATGACAGTGAAAAATAAGGAAAATATGTCTTGATTTTTCTAACCCTCTGCTTCCTTAAAGGGGGAATAATAAAAATGTTTAGAGCCCAGAACTGGCATGTACACAAGGAAATAACAGGACTGGGGATGTAGCTCAGTGGTATAAGTGCTTGCCTGGCAAGTGCAAGGTCCTGAGTTCAATTTCCAGTACCAAAGAAAGAAAGAAAGAACAAAATGTTGTCAATGATATTAAACTTATTATTTGTTAGGATTATGGTGTTTTAATTTTTATTTATTTTTGGTGGCAGTGGGGATCAAACCCAAGGTCTTATACATGCTAGGCAAGTGCTCTGCCACTGAGCTGCATCCCCAGCCCAATGGAAAGTTTTGTTGTTTCTATTGTTATAAAAAAAAAAAGATGAAAATAAAAGAGAGAAGAGAAGAGCAAGGAAGAAAAAGGGAAATATGAAAGCAACCTTCAAGTAATACTGTTGACCTAGAAAATGAGTCAGAGGTAAAAGACAAAATTGGAAATGGAGATGGGAGAAATTTTAGAGAGCTGTTAATTTTACACTAAGAACTTGGACTATACCCTGTGACCAATGAAGGACCATAAAATTTTTAAATATGAGAGCAACATGGTCAAATTTATGTTTTACAACAGTACTCTGCTAGTTTAGGGGTAGAATTCCTAAGAACAGAGTCTGAGAAATCAATTCCCAGGCTCCTTCAATAATCCAGAAATAAAATCATGGGGGATCTCAGGCACCAGTAGCTGGATGGAGAAGCAGATGTGGATGAAACAGCTTTTGAAGATGAGGCAATCTACCAGATGATTGGTTCTGTGGGTGAAAAGGTCATTACTAAGAATGGGCCTGAGATACGGAATCTTCAACCTCATCTGCAGGGGCTGAGTCATTAAGAGAAGTTGGCACAGCTTGGGTGTCTCACTTTGAGCTGGGACAGAACTGAAGCCTGCTAACAAATGCCGACCACTTAGCAAGCACAAAGTTAGCAAGTTCAGAGCATGTGCCTGGCCTCTGACTCCAGTCACCCATGTCTAACATCTGATGGGAAAAGCCTCCAACAAGAGCAAAAACAACGTGCGGGGACTCAGATATCCTCACCAGAACACTCTCTTTACTGGGAAGGGAATTACTGAGTCAAGAGCTTCTGACTCTGTTTTCTTGTGATTCATCTTCTTGCAACACACTCTGGCCCCATGCAGTGTTTCTCTCCCCAAAAATGACCACAGAGATCTTGCTTTGCTCCACAACAGGCAGAGATGAGGCCAGTGTGTTTAAACTGGAGTTTCCTTGAGGATTACATAAAGTAAATACATCTGGAGAGCAGCATGAGTCCCAGTAATCTGTAAGATACAGCTCACTCTTGGAAGATCAAGGCCCATATCGTCCTGCGGGCCCCAAGAAAAAAATGAGAACTCCCTCCATCTTCCATCTTGGTCCCAAATTCCTCCCACTTCACAGAAGCCATTCCAAAGGAACAATTTTTATTTTGGATTTGTTTTATTCTTGTGTTTGTCTCTAGGAATTGTTTTCTAAAAGTTACATTCTTTGTATTATATCTTTAAAATTTTAAACTGGGCATGGTGGCACATAGCTATAATCATTCTGGCAGGCTGAAGCAGAGGATTGTAAGTTCGAGACCAGCAACTTAGTGAGACTCTGCCTTTAAAAAAAAGTGTCTGGAGATGCAGCTCAGCAGCACAGTGTAAAGGCCCTGGTTTTGTTTTTTTTTGTTGTTTTTTTTTTTTTTTAATAGTTATTAGTTTAAAAAATCCTTAGTACTAATTTTAACAATTTACAGTAAGACTGCCTTAAAATCTGGGCAGGATGGTGTATGCCTGTAAACACAGTCCTCTCAGAGGCTAAGGCAGGAGGATTGTAAATTTGAGCCCAGCCTGAGAAATTCAGCAAGTTAGTACAGCCCTGGGTTTAATCCCCAGCACTACAAAATATTTTTTAAAAACTATTTTTTTCCTTAAAGAAAATTTACTAATTAGGGAAACTTTTAAATTGCTCATATGTTTTAAAACACCTTCAGAACACAGTATTTTTCTATATTCCTTTCTAGTTATTACATATGTATTTTATACAGTTTTCATCATACTGTACATTATGTATAGACATATTCTGTGCCTTTAGTTGCACCGTCAGGGCTGCCTCGGTGTACTTAGTTAATTCAAAACATTCACCGTTTATGGTCATTTTGACTTTGGGGAAGAGCTGGAAGTGTCACATTGCCACATCCGGTGAATAGGGTGGATGAGGACACACTGCAATGTTTTCACCAGCCTGCCCCTCCGTTGGAGGGCACTGGGCTGCATTCACTGTATGTTTGATTATCATGTAGACACTTGTGGAAAGGGCTTCTAAAGCTGCTTCAGAAAGTGACAAGACCCATGAGGTGCATGTGTGAAAGGGGGTTATTTTGAAAACGATTAGCGGCAATGTGTCCTTTACTTCAATTAACTTTTAAAATTAGGGCTGGGGCTATAGCTCAGTGGCACAGAATCTGCACAGCACCGTCACAGCACCGTGGCAAGCACGAGGTCCTGAGTTTGATTCCCGGTACCAAAATAAATTAATTAATTAATAGAATTGAATTGAACATTCACCTTTTGTTTTGATCATCCTTTGTATCATTATAGCATTCATCTTTTCACACTAATTTTCATAGTCTTCATTTTACCTTTTTTTTGATTCAAAATTATATTGCCATTTCTACGTTTGTGCCTATTAGATTGCTTCTACTTTAAAATTATCTTTTAAATTTATGTTTTCTGGTTATATAAATAAACATACTAATTTTTGAAATTTTAAAGAAAAGGAAAACAAAAATCATATCTGTATGAAAGTGTGATATACAAGTGTACAGATTTAATTTGATTTGCTTTCCACTTACTTTGGCTCCACAGAGTGTGATGGTTTGTATGTGGCCTGTTCCCCAGGGGTGCATGTGCTCGGTTCCCAATGTAGAGTGAGGGACAGTGGACCTTTACGAGGTGGCGCATGGAAGGCAATTAGGTCAAGGCCATCTTCTCTCAGCAGGAATGAATGCTAGTTTTAATGGTTGATTGACTGTGTCAATTTAAGAAATTTAATTAAGAGAAACTTAACTAAATATGCTCAGCAATTCTACACCCAAGGATAAAGACGACCCAACCTAGGGCAGCTCCTCACCTGGATGGTGTAAAGGGGAAATGAAGAAGGATGGATCTGCTTCTGTTCTTTAGAGGAGCTCCAGTCTTGCCTTCAGTGTCTGTCATAGACTCTTCAACCTTCTAGCACAGACTCTGGTTTCCAGTGTGGATCCTTCAGCCTGCCAGTGTAGACTCTTCAGCCTTCCATCGCAGACCCCTCAGGCCTCCTGCTATGGACTTGCCCGGGATGCTGCAGTGAGCTCCACAGCTTGGACTGGATTCTTTGGTCTCCAATGTGCAGACACCCTCTGCACTCTTCCACATCCAATTCTGGGTGACCATCGTAAGCCAGTCTTCTAATTTCTTATACATTTGTATATCATGTGTTATAGCTGTTTCTCCAGTAAAACAGTGACTGATACACTGGTCTTACACAGTAAGTTAGTTTTTTTGCTAGATCCAAATTTTTTAAAGAGCAGAAATGCCACACACATGCTCTCTTCTAAGAGTATCCATTTCCCTTTCTACTTGTCTGCCATGTTGTGACCCAACTGAGGTGGCTCTCACTGGAGTCAGAACAGATGAGGTTACCTGTTCTTGGTCTTTCAGTTTCCAGAACTGAGGGATAAATAAACCTCTCTTCTTTGAAAGGTACCCAGCCTCAGGCTTTTTGTTATTGAAACCTAGGATGGACTAATACATTTGCTTACAGGAAAAGTATTCTAAAGCTGCTGTTGGTCATCACATCCCATTGAGAGCCCAAAGCTCCTCACTCCTGTTTGAAGTAGATCCAAATTCATTGCCAGTTAGTGGTTTGAAGCAGATCCAAATGGCACTAGCAGCTGTCCTGAAGCACCCTTGCTTCTCCAAGCCCTGTCTTGTACCCCACCACCACCTTATTTTTCTTTCTTTGGAAGAAAGAAGTCCTCTAGAGACTGACAGACTTCTGCAGCAGTGTGTCTTCTCCAAACCTGGCTGCACTGAGAATGTGCCTCAGTGCCATCTTCAGCACCCACAACACAAAGCAGAGACTGGCCACTTCTTTAGCAGCAAAGCTTCCTGAAGTACAGAGAGAAGACTGATGAACAAACCTTTTTAATGTTATTTTTTACATTGCTGAGTGTCTTATAATTGCTTCACTCAGCAATCTAGGGAAGTATGTAAGTAGTCATCAGTTTCACAGATGTGGGAACTAAGGTTCAGGAAGGTTAAATGACTTGCCTTAAATAGTCACAAAATTGTATCATTGGAGAGTTAAAGGAGAACTCTCATTTCTATTAAAATTAGACTCTTCCTGGGATAAAGATAAATGATACAGTAATAAATGAAGCACATGTGTTGACCTAATAAAGAAGTTGGGGCAGAGCAGAAATAGAAGGAAGTGAAAGGTCACAGAGAGAGCAAAGAGAAGGCAAAGGTGATAGGAAAAGTAATTTTGCAGCTCTAGTACTTGGCAATGCTTCTTTTGTGTATATTTGTGGAAGATATAGTGGTTCCTGGTTTGACCTATGGGTGCCAAGGGGCTCACCTCCCCTTGTGAGGGATGGGGGTTTTCCTCCAAAGCATCCTTTCAAGGATTCCCTTCCAGGGGCACCTTTGGAGACACAGGGTCTGATCCTCATGTGTGCAGTGGGTTCCCCAGGCCACCTGTGGGCTTCTGCTTATCCTGGTGTTTGCCACTTACTCAAACTCCCGGACAGCTACTTGCCTTCCACGGGCAGTCATACAGCTCCTGTCCAGCAGGCTTAAGAAGAGGGAGCAGGTTGGGAAATCACATTTCCTTTCACTGTCTCGCTCCACTGTTCCCTGTAGCATCATTCACACAAGGCCATGGGGTAACATTCTCTAGTCAGAGTTGAGGTTGATTGGAGAAGACATCTCTGCAGAGATCCGTGTAGTTCTCGCATCCGTGGTTGCTTGCAGGGAAATAGGTCTGGAAAAGGGGGTAGAGAGGAGGTTTTCTCACACTGTAGAGTACTTTTTACATACTGTACTCATTGTGCTTACAGCCCACTGAGAGATAAAAACTGAGATAAAACCATCGGGGCTCTCAACAATTGCTTCCAAGAGTCCAAATACAAGAAATCTGTAGCAGAATTGTACTCATGATCATACCTCAAATTCTGGCCTGGCTGATCTTGTCCTGGGACCATCTTTCTATTCCTTCTCTCTCTTAGGAAGAGTAATATTTTAATTCTCCATGGTAGTCACCGTGCATGTAAAGAAACCTGTACCCTCATGACAATGCCAGGCCTCACCCTTGGATCCGTCTCAACCATCAGAACAGTCCATAGGACATAGTAAGTGACAGGAGAACACTTGTCAGTGTCTGACCTCTTTCACCTAGAATAAGTTACAAAACCGTTATCTAGAACAACAGGAACATGGGGTGGCCTTTGGGGACTGAATCCCCAACACTGTCACAGTCAAGTGGAGATGTGAGGAGTCATTCTCTTTGTGACTATATGACAGGCATCTTGTGTGTAAAATGCACGCAGACACACACCCATATACAAGCCCATTTGCACACATTGCTGGAAGACAAGTAAGTTTCAAAAGTCATACTACCTAACTGAAATATATTAAATAAAAAAACTTCCTGAAAGTTTTTACACTCTACAAGGACTTATCTTGAAATAAACCTTGAAAGGAGACTCTTACATTTTTATCCAATGGCATTATAATTTTTTTCTTTTTCTTCAATCTCCAGCTTCTGTACTGTGGCTGAAGGGTTCACTGGTGACAAAGACGCTGCCCACACAAACCTGCTTGAACAGGATGCGCACTTACCCCTCGTCTTCACCTTTCACTGAACCAAAACACTGGTTTTGGTTTAAAAGAAAACATAACCAAAACACGGGACATTTTAAATTCACATGTTTATACTTAGATCTACTTCCATTTTTTTCCCTCTTAGGTTTTAGGCAGGACACTGTCATACCAGCTGTCGTTGTCTGAGGAATGGAGTCTATAAAACATTTACTTATCATCTCCTTTCCCATCAGAAAGGAAAGCTACTAGCAACGACAATTTTAGATTTGTTCATTTGTTCTTAGTTCTGTTTTTCCATTTCTTTATGATATATAATGTAAGCTAGCCTACTATAGAAAATAAATATGAATAGATATTAATTGAGATGAGAATGGTCCAGAGGTTGGAATTCCTTAATATATCTTCTAGCTTTTTTCCTATGCCATTTTCAAATAAAATTGGGATTCCATTGCATACCTGCATGCCTTTCACAGCACCTAGATGCTTGCTTTTATTTTAACTCTGACAAAATTCATATTCCATTAAATTTATTTTTTCCAAATGGAAAACTCAGAACTTTTTACAATCTACACAAATTTGTGTGACCATCACCAATAACTAATTTCATTGTTCTAAAAAGAAGCTGTATACTCATTCACAGCCACTCCCTGTCTCCTCTAACCCCAGTGCCTGCAACTGCCACCTACTTCTTCTCTATGGACTTGCCTATTTTGAGCTTATTATATAAGTGGAATCATACAATATGTGGCCTTTGATGATTGATTCTCTTTTACTTGTCATAATTTTTTCAAGCCATCATCATATTGCACCGTTTATCAGTACTTCATTCCTTTTCAGGGCTAAATAATTTTCCAGTATATGAATATACTACTGTTGTTCATCCACTCATCAGTTGATGAATATCTGTGTTTGCAATTTCTGGCTGTTATGAACAATGCCGTTATGAATCTTGGTGTACAGCTTTCCATGTGGACATAGTTTTTGTTTCTCTTGAGTATTTACTCATGAATAGAGTTACTGGTTCATAATCTGTATGTTTAGCCATTTAAGTAATTATCAAATTGGCTTTTAAAGCCGCTGCATTAAAGTCCCATTGACAGCATAGAGGATTCAATTTCTCCACACCCAGTAATGCTTTTCTTCTTCATTGTAGTCATCAAACAGAGGGTATGAAGTGATTCTTATGGTGGGTTTGATTCCCATTTCTCTGAAGGACTAATAGTGAGCACATTCCCATCTTATCTGCATTTGTATCTCTTCTTTGCAGAAATATTATTCATACACTGTATTTTAAAATCCAAATGTTGGCCTTCTTATGAGCGAATTATCTGAGTTCTCTGTATATCCTGGTTATTAGGCTCATATGATTTACAAATATTTTCTTGCAATTGGTTATGTTGTATTTTAAGTATCTTTATAATGTCTTTAAAATATCCAAATCTTTTTTATTTCATTCAGTTCAGTTTGCCTATTCTTTGAAGGTTGTTTATGCTTTTCATATTGCATCTGAGAAAATGTTGCCTAATCAAATGTCCCAAAATTTTTTATCTATGCTTTCTACTAAGAGTTCTATAGTTTTATCTCATTGGTCCATTTCTAGTTAATTTTTATAGACAGTATGGACATGAGATCCAACTTCACTCTTGTTTTTCGTTTTTTTGTTTTTGTTTTTGTTTTTTCTCCGGTACCGGGAACCGAACTCACGACCTTGCGCATGCCAGGCAGGCGCTTTTGCCGCTGAGCTAAATCCCCAGCCCCAACTTCACTCTTTTACATGTGAATTTCTAGTTGTCTCAGGGCCATTTATTGAAAAGCCTTTTTTTTCTGCCCTGAATTATCTTGACATCCTAGTGAATAATCAGTTGACCATAAATATAAGAATTTACTTCTGAATCATCAGTTTTATTCCACTGATCTATCTTTATGTCAACACCTGCAGTTTTACCTGGAAAAAAAAGGAGAGGTGGGAATTTGATGGTGATTGCATTTATTCTATAGATCAATTTGGGTATTATTGTCATAAGAACATTAGGTTTTGCAATCCAAGAACAGAAGATGTCTTTCTATTTAATTAATTCTTCTTTAGTTTCTTTCAGTGATGTCTTATAGTTTCCAGTGTACCATTCTTGATGTTGATCTTTTGTCTTTTTTCCTTGTAAAAGCCTCATCTAGTTTTGGCATAAGGGTAATTAATATCATTCTCATCTGAGAAGCTGGGAAATATTTTTTCCTCTACTTTTTTAACTTTGTTCCTACTTCACTTTGTTTGATACTATTCTAAATGAAATCAACTTCTTAATTTTATTTTTAGATTATTTATTGATAGTCTATAGTCTTTCTGGTATTGTATATTAATGTGTGTTTTGTTTGTTTATCTGTTCATTTAGTGGATTGTTTTCCATGTACAAGTTTATTTGCAAATAGAGGTAGCTTTATTTCCTCCTTTACAGTGTGGATTCTTTTTTCTTTCATTCTTTCTCTCTTTTTCTTGCTTAATTGCCCTGGCTAAAAGCTCAAGTACAATGTTGAATAAAAAGTGGCAAGAACAGATATCCCCATCTTCTTTCTGATCATAGAAGGAAACTGTCAGTCTTTTACCATTAAGCATGATGTTAGCTGTAGGTTTTTGGAGATGTCTTTTTATTCATTTGAGTATGTTCCCATATATTCTTTTTTTTTAGTGTTTTAATTATTAAATATGTTAGATTTCTGCGAAATGTTTTTGTGCAGCTATTGTGATAATGTGTGGCTTTTTATTCTATTAATATGGTGTATTACATCAGTTGCTCTTTGTATGTTGGGCCAAATTTCATTCTTGGGATAAAACTACTTGGTCACAATGTGTCATCCTTCTGTTTTTTAAGGGGGAAGAAAAAGAATCATGATATAACATGTACAGGTACAAATTCCACATGCTATCATTATGTATATCATTATGTATATCTAAAAATGTACTAATAAAATTATTTTTTCAGTACTTTGTTGAGGATTTTTTCATCTATATACATAAAGAATCTTGTTCTCTAGGGTTTTTATTCACTGTGAGGACCTTGTCTAGTTTTGGTATAAGGGCAGTACCACTCAAATAGAATCAGCTGGGAAGTATTTCCTCCTCTATTTGTTTTTCAAAGAGTTTGTGAAGGATTTGTATTAATTCTCACTTAAATACATCAACAGCTTCACCAATGAAGCCATCTGGACCTGAGATTTTCTTCATAGGATATTTTTTTGTTATTCATTTAATCTCTGTGACTGTTACAAATCTATTCAGATTTCTATTTCCTCTTGGGTCAGCTTTGATAATTTGTGTTTCTATGAATTTGTCAATTTCATCTAGTTATCTAATCTGTTGACATAGTAGTGTTCTCATATTACCTTTACATATGCAAAGTTGGTAGTAATTTCACTGCTGACTTTTATAATTTGAGTTTTTTCTCTTTTTTATTCATACATTCTTGCTCTTTAACAAATGCAGAGCTATTTGTTCTCCCTAGAGCTCTACCTTACTTTAATTTCTCTTCTGACTGAAAGGAATCATTGTGGAAGAAATTAAAGTGATTTGTTCATTGGCCTATAAAGTGAGTTTTTTCCACTCCTTTTAGTATGTCTGCTAAGTGATGACTTTTAATTTTTCTAATAGGAAGGACAAGGATAAAAATGAGAATACAATCAGCAAAGGTAGTTTCATGAAGAAATGCTTTTTCATTACAATTTGCAAGAAAAGCTATGCATAATACTGTATCTACAAATTTGATGCCTTGCTTATTTTGAATCATCATTAACAGATTTTAAATTAGTTATTTATTAAAATTGTAACAATCTATTATAATTTAAGAATTAATTACTGGCCAGATAGCTATGCAGGAGAGGGAAACAAATAGGATTAAAATCATTTCTAAAGGGAAAGAGAATGATCAAGGATTGGGATTAGGTTTTTGTTGGGTAGGTAAAGATTTATTTCTTTGTTAAAAAGAGAGGAAGACAGAAATTTGAAGCACATGTGCTGTTTATGTTAACACATGTAAAATTCAAATATGAGTATCTAATTTTGAAAAGCATATCATAAGAGGGAATAGTTACATAAAAAGAATGCCGAAAGTGCTCTGTAAAAATAATGTTGAGCAAAAGAAATGAACAGGCAAACCACCAGAGGAAAGAAAG